ACGTTTTTTTGTAGTTGTTTTACTCAGGAGATTTAATTTATAATTTGCATTTATACAAAAAAAAAAATAAGAAATGGACCATTCATAAAGGACGTCCCCTTTTTTAGCCAATTTTTAATTCCTCTTTTTTAACTCAACCCTTTCCACTCTCTTCCCTATTTGGATGACGTCCTTATGGATGGCCCCAAAGTGATTTGAGACATCTGTTTTTAACAATACCTTTTTTAAGCAGCTTGATAAAAAAATCATTAGTTATCTATTAAGGAAGATGAATGATTTGTTATTTTTGTAGGTTTATTTATTATAGGTATTTTTTCCGTTTCAAATAAGTCGTTGTAAAATTTTTTTGAGTCGGAGTCGGAGTTGCGGAGTTGCGACAATTTTAGCGGAGTTGGAGTCGGAGTCGGAGTCGGAGTCGCTAAAAAATATCGCGACTCCGACTCCGATAGTAATATTTCTTGGTATTGCACGTGCATGTACAAAACATTCAATTAACCTTATGTTCATACTAAACCTCAAAGAACGTTGCATAAATTTGTCAAAAAAAAAATTTCAATTTATTGCGCAATATTTTTTAAAGAAATCAAAGAATTTTTCAAAAATTTTGCTTTGGAGTTGGAGTCAGAGTTGGAGTTAGAGTCGGAGTAGGAGTCGGAGTCGGAGTTGTACTCAAAAAATTTCAACAACTGGAGTCGGAGTCGGAGTCGTTACTTTTATTTTACGACTCCACACCCCTGGTTTTTATTATACTCAAAACAGTCCAAATTGAAGTCCCTTACTATGTAATATTTTTTTTTTTTCTTGATTAATTTTTTCTATTAAATTGTGTTTTAAAAATTTGCTTAAGTGTTCAGTTCTTCCAGTAGAAGGCCGATAGCAACAGCTTAGTAGAACGTTTTTAGATTTTTTGTTTATAATATAAATTATTATAATCTCTTGATCTTCATCAGAAAAATTCATATCGTGTCTGAAGTTACGAAGAATATTTTCTTTTATGTAAAAAGTACTCCTCTCCTCGCTTATTAACTTTACGTTCTAAAAAAATCGAATTAAAAATAGGGAGATAGAAATTAGAATTAGAATCAAAAAATTCTTTAGCACACTAAGTTTCCGTTAAACGTTATGTTAAAAAGATTTTCTGTTTCGCATAATAAATTTGAAAAACTTTCAAAATTTTTTTAGACTCGAATATTTACATAGATTTACATTAAAATAACCACTATTTTGCTCCATATTAAAATAATTTTTTATTTTATTTAGATAAAAATAAGAGTATTCAAACTCAGGCGTATTAATTTCGTTTAAATAATTCAGAGCTGAATCATATTTATCGTAAAACAGTTACTTTAAAAAAATTGAAAAGTTTTATCAATGTGGTTGTTAATTAATTTCCGATTGATTTTGAAAAAAAAAAAAAAAAGTAGTATATTCGTTTTGTTAACTTAATTTCAAATCTAGAAAAGTAATTTACATAGAAATTTAATCCAAGGCAGTAACACCAATGTGATATAAAAATAAGGCTGTATCGCCTGAGTGACACAGTTTAATAAAAAGTTCACTTTCTTAAATTTATTTTAAATAATAGTGTTATAATACATATTTCACATATAAGTAAGCAGCTTATATGCCTTTATGTGATTCAGTTTTTTCTTACTCTTGTAAATTTTGGAATTGATCACATGGGCGGTATTACCTGCGCAACGACGAAAATTAAGTATAAGTAAAAAACAAGTAGATTTTGTTTGTATAGACCAGGAAAAACAATAGACCAAGAATTGATTCTTATGTGACCTCAAAAATAATACTTAAAAGTTGTGTAACAGTGTTGTTAAAGAGTAAAGATTGTTTTCGATAATTAAGAAAATTTTATTTCATATTCCATAAGTATACAGTTAATAAAGAAGAATCTTGCGGCTAAATGTGTCAAACGCTTTTAAGAGATTTTGGACTCCTAAAGTATACTTGTGGTTGTTTTTTATTTTATTTTATTTATTTATTCAACGAGGCTGCAAGTCGCCACTATTAATTTGATAATTAATAAAAAACAAAATAGAGTTAAAGAGCAAGAAAACGATTAACAAAAGACTTGAAAAGTAGTAGATTTCACAAGTTGGGATCGAGTTGAAGTGCGGGGAAAAAAACTAGACTAATACGATTTAAAAAAAAAGTATACAGGGACAGATAAAGTAAAAGGATCTGACTTTGCTGAACTACTCACGGAAACTATATATACAATTGATTGCATAACTAGCATCTGCTTAGATCGCAGATCTCTATAATAGTTAAATTATTATAGAGATCAGTGGCTTAGATTGCTTTTCTTTATTGTACTTGCCATTATCTTACTACCGACTTCATTCTCTCCCTCTATAAATCTCTTGTTCGTTCCTTTATGGAATACTGTTGTCATATTTAGACTGGTTCTTCTAATCATGTTCTTTTCCTTTTAGATAAGGTCCACATTTTTAGTTACCAATTGTAAATTAGTTGGATCCTCTATATCTGCTAAGCTTGAGTCTCTTTCCTATCATTGTTAAGTTGTCTTATCTCTTTCTCTTTTCAAAAAATACTATTATGGTTGCCGTTTAAAAGAGTTATCTCTAATTCCGTCAGCTAAAACTCATTCTCGCTTGACTTGTTGTTCAGCAATGAATGACGAGTCAAGCAAGAATAATAAATTGCAACTTTTTTTTTCGACTTTTTTTTAATTTTTCAAATAGATTTCTATGTTTTATTATATTTTTTCGTTTTTATGAGTTCTTTTTTTTAAAATACTTTTAAAAAGTTTTTGTTTTTTCAAAATGAATATTTATTATTTAAAGAGTCTTAATTATTTTAAATTCATTGTTTTTATTTGTTTTAATTAGATTCTTTATTTTTTAAAAATCGAAGAAGCAAGAGATCCTGGGTTCGAAGTGAGCTCTGAGCATATTTGGCGCCATTAATAAGGAAGGAAGTGTGAACTTCTTATTTAAATGCGTTCTCTCGATGCTCTGTGATAAGACTTTCAGGTCTTGTTTTGTTTTTTTATTAAAAAAAAAAAAAAAAAAAAAAAAAGGAATAATGGTTAAAACCCGGACTGTTGTGCGAAACGAGTTCAAATCTAGTCACCGCCAACTCAGCGCTTGAAGTAGTAAATTGGTATGCAAAAATGTTGGTCAATAACGGACGCTGTTTTATTTTTATATTATGACACAGTCAAACATAATGGCCAAAATTTAAAATTTCAGTGTATGATGTAATTAAATAAGTAAAGGATCACAGGCCAGTTATTGGTTATTGAAAAATCTCTGTCGCGAGTCATTTATATTACAGTATTTTTCTATCAAAAATTATACACATAACTAGTTTTTCATAACTTTTTACTTTTATTTTAATGATGTACTATTAAAAAAAGATTAAATAGAAGATTATTGTTTTTTTTAAACATTAAACTTTTTAACAAATATTAAAATCATTTGAAAACATATCGTTTAACAATAAATTGTAACAAAGAGCTTCATACAATATTGAGAAAATAAAAGCCTAAGCTTCTCGTTTTAAATAATATACAATATAAACAGAAAGAGACTCAAAGAAGGCATGGATGGAATCAGTTGCGGATTAAGACTTCTTAGTGCCCGGGTCTATTTTTGTTTTTGGAGACCTTTTTATGGGCCAGAGTCTAAAAATGACTAAAAAAAAAAAAGAAGGTCTTCTAAAAATTTTTGGGGCCCCTAAATTTGCGGGGCCTGGGGGTATAACCCCCTAGCCCTTCCTTGATTCAGCACTGGATGGAATATATAAGAGTATTACCTCAACCTTTTTTATAGAGTTACAATGCAGATTTTATGTTTTTCTAGTAGCCACCTTAAGTGAAAATTTTTATTGAGAAAAAAAGGTTTTTGGTTGATAAAGTTATACTTTGTAAAAACTATGGGACCATTAAACCTCAGATCTAAAAGAATATCTTGATTTATTTTCATTTTAATATTTTACTTAAATTTAGTTCTGCTTTAATTTTTTTTTTTTAATTCTATTTAGGTAAGAAGTCCTTATAGACTTATCACAGAGCACCGCGGATGAGCATTTAACTTGCCCAGAGGTGGGTTTTGAACCACGGATCCTTTGTTATTGAGGCAAGTGCGCAACCACTGCGCCACGGCTGCTCCAGAATAAAACTTTTAGTAAAAGGAATTTTATATGCACTCCACACTTTTGATTAAAGTTTACGCAATATTTTTACATGTTTTTTATTCAACTCTTATCATATTTAAGCTAGAAAACTAACATCTTAAATGGTTGGAAAACGAATAAAAGCACCTATTTTGATGCTTTTTTTAGATTTAGCATAAGGTTTTTAAATAAAATTGATTATTTTAATAAGATTTAGGGTTTTGAAATATCTTTTTAAGATACCAGGTTTTTCCATGCCCAAATTTCAAAACTAAAAAGTATATAAATTTATCTACTTATATAAAGCTTTATAATTTGTAGCAACTGTTGTGTTGTGTTATTCTCACTATTTTTTTCTACCATTGAGATTTATATAAAAAAAGTTTTATATGAGGTTTATATGAAAAAATTTCTTCTTTAAGACTATTCTCTCCTTCGACAAACTAGTGAGTGACATGAAAACAGGTATTGCAATACTACCGCGAGAATGTTTAATAAATACGGTAATATGTTTAGTAATACAGATGTTCAATATGCTAAATATAACTAAAAACACGAAATATAACCAATTAAGAAACATAAATTTTGCGTTATTGATGGGGATTTTTTCGTGTCACTTTTGACAACAAATCTATTTTTTTTAATGTCAAACTATACCTTTTTTCTACCCTCATCATAACGTTTACTATTTAAATTTTAAAAAGAAACTTTATGCGTCCTTAAAAAACATAAGTTTGTTATGCAATTAAAAAAAAAATAATTACAATGTTTCAAGGTAATTGCGTTTAAAGACAAACTAGATACATACACGACTAAAAAAATAACAAAAAATGCTGGAAAATAAATACGGTAAAAAAATACTTTATATTCTTTTTATAAGAAAACATTATCTACATTATGCAAATTTTTGTTATTCTAAACATTGCAGCCACAAAATTATACGCTTTGCAACAGCAATTCGATTATTTTACATATTTATCTTTACTTACAAGGTTATTGTATAAACTGCGACATTACTTAACACCCGTCAATATATTATTTAACTTTAACACTCTCCATTTCACCGAACCATCGCCACCGCACGAAAACATCTGGTTTCCTTCCAATATTTTTATACATTGTACACCAGGACTTACATGACGTAGAGAAACAGTGCCACGGGAATGTTCTCTTGAAAAACTTTCAACCATTTTTAAAGTTGTAAGATCCCAAACCTAAACAGAGTGGAATTAATTATAATTATATAGTGAATTTATTTATCTTTCGGATTATTTTATTTTTTACGGGGCTGGGCAAAGAACTTAAATTCTAAACCTAAATAAATAAAATAACGCAAATTCAAATTAAATTAACGCAAATTTAAATTAAAGCAAAACTAAAAAAAAAAAAAATAACTACAAAAAACGCAAAATAAATTAAAGTTAATTAGAAGAAAGAAAATAAATAACTGAAGCTACAACAATATGGAGTGAGAGAGGAGGGAAGAGCGAATTTAGTACTACTAAATTCTCTACTCGGAAATTAAACCTGATCATGGAAACAATGTATTCTATAAATATTTTGCTACTATATATTGTGCCGAAAGGCACAAAAAACATTTCAAATCATAAACATTTCAGGTCTTGAATTGTGATTCAAAATTTTTTTCCCTTAAAAACTGTTACGAGGTGTTACGAGGTGCGATTGGGTTTTGGGGAGGTAAAAACAATACGTAAATTTTATTACCATAAATAAGAGTAGATTTTCTTTAGCTACTTCATGCATTGATTTTATTGGCAACAGCATAAAATTTGAAAAAAATCATACCTTTAAATCGCCATCAATAGTACCAGTAACAAAAAACTGTTCCACCGGATCTATGGCAATGGTTTTGACAAGACAATCATGAGCTTGAAACGTATGCAACAGTTGGCGCTGTTTAATATCAAAAATTGATACGTCGCCTCGTTTTCCTCCAGAAATAATAGTTTGCTGACTTGATACATACGCAAGCGATTGAGCGCCGTGTATGTTGTGGGCAAATCCTTAAAATAATTTATATGTTAATACAAATCATTTAAACTTAAAAATATTTTAATTTATAAAATTCTATATATATCTATTAATTTATTATTCTATAAATAGTTTTACAAAATGATAAAGAAAAGATAGAATGAGGACTGACAGCGTATTATTCTAAATATTTAGGGCAATGAAGAATTTAGGCAGAAGAGAAAGAAAAAAGAGCGAGGAGGGTGAATCCCGACTGATTTCTAAAAAAAAAAAATCCTCAAAACTTAATCTGCCGTCTGAAATGTATCAAATGGCCGACTAAAGTGTGTACACGAAATAAATGTGAAAGTAGAAAAAGAACTAAAAAAAAGTACTCTTCAACTTTTATTTCCAACCAAGTAATAACTTTAATACAATAATATAAGATCAAATATTAAAAAAAATCAAATTATTTCTGCAGTAATCTAATAAAATTTCGAACTTTTGCTTTGGTGGTACCCATAAGCCTGTGCACAGAATAAGAGTTGAAGCCATTTGATGCTTTTTTAAATGATATTTTAATACCTTTATTATTTCTGCAAAGTTTTTTTGTTTTTTTAATTTTTACTTTTAATAATGGGTAAGTACTTTTCAATAACTCTTAATTCTGGGTAGTTTTCTGTTTTAGGTACAAATTTCACATTATTATTTTTATACCAGAACACAGGTCTCTTATTGTGTGATTTAATGAGATGTAAAAGGCGTTTTTGTGAACACTCTTTAACATATATTTGACCCAAAAGGACTTAGAAATATAAGGTGTTGATTTTTTACAACAACTGCAAATAACTTTCCAAATCAAGACTTTTTTAGCAAACTTGTCATGTTTTTTTAGCAAACTTGTCATGTATTTAAATTTCTTATCTGCTTTTCCTCTACATTTGGCAATATAATAGACCCAAATAAAATTATCATACAACTTTCTGCAGCGGGTTTTTGCACTTTTTTGTTGAGTTTTAGATCGGTTGGGCACTTTTTGTGCTTTGAAAGAATGAAAACCATGATATTTTTGAACTTTTACAACAAAACTAGGAGAAAGTTCAGAAATGTTTGCGCGCTTCCTTAGTGAATAGCTTGGGTTAGTCTTAAAACTGTTAACCAGTTTTCTAACTAGTTTTTTATTTTTAAAACCCTTCTTTCTTCCACCACCAGATTTATGTTTGATCAGTTTTGTTTAAAAAAAACGTTGGATTACACGACTAACGATGTATGTATGTATTTGCAACGCTTTTGCTGTCGAATTGTAGCTACTATTGGGATTTCAAACATTTGTGCATAATTTTTTCTTTCATGTCTTCTTCTTTTGTCATTTTTAAAACTAATTTTAAGTTAAATCAAAAAACTAATACATTTATTTGAAACCACAACACGTTGTAAACAAAACAACAACACGTTGTAAACAAAACCACAACACGTTGTAAACAAAACCACAACACGTTGTAAACAAAACCACAACACGTTGTAAACAAAACCACAACACGTTGTAAACAAAACCACAACACGTTGTAAACAAAACCACAACACGTTGTAAACAAAACCACAACACGTTGTAAACAAAACCACAACACGTTGTAAACAAAACCACAACACGTTGTAAACAAAACCACAACACGTTGTAAACAAAACCACAACACGTTGTAAGCAAAACCACAACACGTTGTAAACAAAACCACAACACGTTGTAAACAAAACCACAACACGTTGTAAACAAAACCACAACACGTTGTAAACAAAACCACAACACGTTGTAAACAAAACCACAACACGTTGTAAACAAAACCACAACACGTTGTAAGCAAAACCACAACACGTTGTAAACAAAACCACAACACGTTGTAAACAAAACCACAACACGTTGTAAACAAAACCACAACACGTTGTAAACAAAACCACAACACGTTGTAAACAAAACCACAACACGTTGTAAACAAAACCACAACACGTTGTAAACAAAACCACAACACGTTGTAAACAAAACCACAACACGTTGTAAACAAAACCACAACACGTTGTAAACAAAACCACAACACGTTGTAAACAAAACCACAACACGTTGTAAACAAAATACAACACGTTGTAAACAAAACACAACACGTTGTAAACAAAATACAAAACTATTAAAAAGATTTTAATATAACCACTGAAAAAAAATGACGTGCTTATGACTTCTTTCACTAATGCTAATGACTTCTTTCACATTTATTTCGTGCACACGCTTTATATTCCCTACAAAAATCCGACTATAAGTTGAAAATAGGCTTCTTTAGGAGGGTATCACGCCCCTTTACCCTGTGTAACCGCCCTTTAAACTAACATATATTTTTTTTATATAATTTATATAAATTATATAAAAAAATATATGTTAGTTTAATAGAATTAAAAAGATTTAAAAGTAAATAAATTTAAATAAATAAAAAATAATTTTAAATGGATAAAAATAGTATTTATGTTAACGGTTGTGAAAGTTATTTAGAAAAAAGTTATTTACTTATACAAACTCACTTACGATGAATTAAAGCATTCTTTTCAGGTAGCAGTGTGTCCCATATACAAATATTTCTAGAAAAAAAACCTTTAGATTGCTTTTTTTTTAATAATTAACTAGAACCTACAAATTTTTGGCCATTAAAGTTCATACAAAACATATTTTCTAGTTTAGGTCCAAGATAAATTTGTAAGAAACAAAAGCATAGTTTATTTCAACATTTAACATAGTTCATTTTATGAACTATGTTGAATTATGTTAAATAAACTATGTTAAATGTTAAAATAGATCATTCATGTGAACCATGTTAAGATTTAACATAGTTCATTCATATGAACCATGTTAAATGTTAACATTGTTCAATCATATGAACCATGTTAACAGTTACATTTTTACATTTGATAGATATTTTTACTTTTCCAAAAATTTGAATTGTATTAGTGACAGATATTATATAAAATATTTTGAAGTAATCGACATTAACTAACATAACTTAAAAGTAAAATGCGATGAAAAAATCTGCACTGAAAAATCAAAGACTACAATTAGATGCTGCAATATACTTCTAGACTCTTTATTAAAAATTTTAAAATCTATCTGTACATTTGAATATTTTCAACCAATGAATAGTAGGCACACAGAGCTTAATTCTTAATTATGCAATTAAATGTTTTCAACCAATGAGTATTAGGTACACAGATTTTAGCATAATTCTAAGCACACAACACCTAATTTAATAATTGGAGCATAATTCAAAAAACGCCCTTATCAAATCTAATTTAAAAAATCTGGTTACTAATGTGAAATAATTAAAACGCCCTTATCAACCTTTCGGTTATTTATGAGAAAATTATATACAAAAAATTTAATTCCTTTACTAGATAACTAATAGAAGAATAATTTAAAATTAAACAATTTTTATCAAAATATACTTTAGCACCTAAAAGATACAGCCATATATTTTGTTTAGAGACCCTCACTTTTTTTTTTGTACATTTTGAAAAAGATTCAAATTATAAACGATGCAGTTTTTAATTCATTTTCAACTGTTTCTATCTCATGTAAAGTTAAATGAAAAAAGGTTTTACAAAAATTTAAAGTAAAAATAACTGAAAACATTTGAATAAGAGTTATAAATTTAGATATTTATCAGAAATTCTGATTTAAAATTAACCCGAACCCTGGCGGGAGATAATCAATCGAGGCTTTCAACCAAAAATAAAAAAACCGTAAACTGGTAAAAGTTTAAAAATAATTTTTTAAAAAGTTTGTTTTTTGTTGATAAACTGCCTGCTCTAACCAATCCATTTGTTGATGCAGTGGCAATTCTTTGTAGCAGCAGGCTTTAAGATATTTGATGAGGCAGCACTCCCTTATAGAAGCAGGCTATAAGATAGTTAATGTAGCAACACTCTATGCATGATTTACATTAAAAAAAAAAAAAAATGCAGAATGTTATTATAAATTTAATTAGTCTACTCGATTAAACTAATACATTTTGACACATCTTTGCCTTACAGTAGTTATATATATATATATATATATATATATATATATATATATATATATATATATATATATATATATATATATATATATATATGTGTGTGTGTTCCGAGTGGTTCCGAGTTCGATCCCCACCACGTCCCTGGTAGTACCGCGCTCAACATGTTTCTCCGCGCAGCGGCCTTGTTCGTCAAGGTTCGTGTTTCGGAGTTATAGAGTTGAGAGAGGGTTAAAGCCACAAAATAAGTAACCTCCTTGTCTGTAGTGGCCTTTTCGGCCTTGAGGAGGTGACGTAAAATTAATATATATATATGTATATATATATATATATATATATATATATATATATATATATATATATATATATATATATATATATATATATATAAACGTGTGTATGTGTGTATGTATGTATGTATGTATGTATGTATGTATGTATGTATGTATGTATGTATAGAACTATAAATGTGTGTTTAGATAAGTACAATGATATCATACTGAAATAGCCTGCTGCTGGAAGCTTATATACATACATCAACTATCTTATAGCTTGCTGCTGAAAAAGAGTGCTACATCGACTGAGGGTTTGGTATAGGGCAGCAAAAGCTGTATGCTATAAAGTACATGTAAAATAATTTACATGACTATATAAATATTCAATAGAACACAGAATCTTAAGTGAAAATCAATACGGATTTCAAAAGCAACATTTAACCAAACATGCTATCCTAGATCTCATCATTAACATTAGCACTTCCTCAATGATTAAAAATTTGTTTGAGGAGTCTTATTGGTCTGACAAACATATTTGAAACAATAGACCACACAATACTACTAAGCAAAAATGGCATTAAAAATCAAACTATAAAATGGTTTGCTAACTACTAAATATACAATAGATAACTCGAAAACAACTAGAAAACAACTTGAAACAGTTAAAAATCAAACATGGGGTCTTTTAAAGATCTATTCTAGCTCCTCTTCGATTTTTAATTTATGTCAACAAAGTATTGTCAAAGTTAAATTGCATAATTTTTTCAAACAATACCAATCTGTTTTATTCTTCTAACTCAATCAGTGACCTTTTTATAACTGCAAACTTAGAACTTATAAAAATTAACAAATTGTTCAGAGCTAACAAATTGTCATTTAACTCAAATAAAACTAAATACATCTTATTTAACTCCAAACAAAAAAGATCTTTTCCATCAATTTTACCAACTCTTAGTATAGGCAACACAATACTTGAACCAACCCAATCATCCTATATTCTTGGTGTGATTTTTGATAAGAATTTATCATAGAACTCTCACACAAATGCTAATAATACAAAAATCTTTAAAAATATTGGAATTAAATAATTATATTATTATTCAAAAATTTAAATCTTTATTTTCCCTTTATACACAGCTACCTATCATATGCCAATATAGCTTGGGCAAGTTCCCATACAACTAAATTAAGCTCTCTCTATAGACGGCAGAAACTTGCTTTAAGAATTATATTTAAAACAGCCAAGCTTTCTCATGCAAACCCATTACTGAAACAAATGAATGCTCGAAACATTTACCAAATCAATATATTTTAAATTTGTTTATGATCAAACATAAAATAGGAACTGTACCAAATCAATTTATAAATAACTTTTTAAAAACTAATACAAATAAATTTAGCACTAAAGCAACTGGAAACTATATAGTACCCATGAAAAAAAAGAAAATTATCCCAATTCTCTAGAGCATATCATGATTTTTACCTGTATAATAAATTATTACCAAAAAATTCCTCAATATCTCTTCTGAAAAATATAAATTCCTTAAAAGCTAATCTTAAAAAACTCATTTTAGATACAAGCAGTTATATGGAAATTTTTTAATATGTTAAGAGTAATTAAAATATCAAAAATATTTTCATAACAAAAATTCAAAACTTTAACATATAAGCAAGTATGTACATACTTGCTTATATGTTAAAGTTTTGAATTTTTGTTATGAAAATATTTTTGATATTTTATGAAACATAATATAAATATAACATGCCATGATATAATATAAATATAATATGAAACTATGAAACTATGAAAATAATATAAATATAATATGAAACATAATATAAATATAACATGAATATATTCATGTTATATTTATATTATGTTTCATGCTTCATAACACAACTAATTATATTGAAAAATAAGCCAAGAATAAAATAGTTATAAGTATGACATGAAATTAATAAAAAAAAGGGTTCTTGATGACAAGACTTCATACAGTTTTCTGCAAGCTCTCCTTGACTATATTACTAAGAGATTGTTTTTTTTAGACCTATTTTGTTTTCTCAAAATATAAATTGTAATACAATATATTTATTATTTTACTTAGTACATCAAATATATCTTAATAATTTTGTATTAGAAGTATTTTGAATGTATTTGTAATAAAAGCATATATTGTTAAAACTTGTAAAAACTATGTAGTTAAAAAATGAATAGAAAAAAAAAAAAAAAAAAAGAAAATTTTTTGTTAATTGCGCCACGCTGAAATTCACTTGCAAATAAAAATATCAAAATCATTTAAACTTTGAATGCATGCATTGCAAATAAAAATATCAAAATCATTTAAACTTCGAATAAGCTCTGAAAATAATAATAAAGGTAACTCAAATATATTTAAGAATTATTGAAATTTGTTTGCTAAAAATGATTTTTTATTTTTAACTATTTTTTTTTTTAATCAAGTATGTTAATTCTTAAATTTTAATTAAAATTTTTAAAATTGAACTAAATGATTTTGTTTCATTATTTTGTTATAAAATAACATTGAAAAACTATTTTCGAAAGTTATTTTATAAGGTTTTATAAGTTTTTATGTTAAACTTGTGATATTGCAATATGTTACTGCAATGTGTTATTGGGGTCTTAGATTTAGGATATTGCGATGTGTTATTGGGATGTAAATTTGTAGTATTTTGATGTGTTGAAATGTTTATAATGAACAAACTTAAGAGTTTTGAAAGTTTGTTCAAATAAGCTGCACTTATTTGAAATAAAATATTTAATGCTAACTTTTACTGTTATAATTTTTTTTCTACAATATAAATTAACGATAAAATTGTCTGTATAATTCAAAAAAATTTAAAGAACTTTTATATATGTCTGAGATATGAATGTTCAAAGCTTAAGTGACCGAACTTAGGCGCTTTTAAAATAAAACAATAAAAATTAAGTATAACTTAACATTCTTGTTGATATGTTACCTTGCATACTGTAAAACCTGGACAGTGTTAATAGAAAAAATTTAAAACTTTTTGATTTTTTTTTTCAAGATTTGCAAACATATTGTTAAGAGACTTTCATCACTAAAGCAGGTAAATTGATAAAAGAGGTATTTGTATTTTATATTGTAACCTGTATTTGTAATTGAAAAATGAGGGAAAATTATTTGTAATTCTATTAATGCTAAATTATAAATTATTTGTAATTCTATTAATCCAAATAAATCATATCTAAAATATAAGCATGATGATTATGGAATGTTTTATAAAACAATAAATATAATATAATAAAAAAAAAAAAAAATTACTTTTTATCATTAGTAAAGCCTACAGTAGCTATTAAACTGCTTGAACCCAAATATGCAAAATCATAACAAAATTTTGTGTGACAACGTAGAGTCTAAAGAATTTAATAAAAACTATATAACAAATAATTGACATAATAATAACATATATAAATATTATTGATATTGACATATGACTTACAAGAAAAGGTGTTGAATTTTGAGTGTTTGTAATCATCCACATTGAAAGATATCCGCTATCATCAACGACAGCAAACTTGAAATATTAGCAAACACATAACATCAAAACTTGTCGCATAAATATTAGTAATAATAAAAACAATTACAATAACAGTATTAATAAAAAGATTAAGCATAAACAAAACTTGTTAGACTCGCTGACACTCTTATTCAACTTATTCAACGTGAAATCTCTCTTATTCAACATGAAAACTGTCTATTTTGCGTTAGCTTTTCTAATTATAACCATGTTCAAGTAGTGAACATGATTAAAATTAATCAACAAAAATAAAACCCTTATAAGAAATATTAAATAAAATATTTGTAGATATTGCCCACGCATCAGCATCATTCTGCTAATTACTTTCATACTTCTGGTTCTCTACCTTTTACAAACCTATTAACTTTTGTAAATTTCATAAACTCTTTAATAAGTTAACTTTCACTGTCATAGTAGTGTTATAGTTAAGTCACTTTCACTGTCACTGTTCTAGTATACTTAAAAATTTATCTTGTTTTTTTTTTTCAGCATACCTCAGTATACAAATTATTTATATTTTTTCCTCATACTGTACAACTTTTTTCCTCATACTGTACAACTACATACAACTGTTTTTATTTTTTATTGTTCAGCTTAAATAACGGTTGTCAGCAGCTTTGTTGAGAGTATATTTGTGTATGCGTTTGTGTCTGTGCATACATAAACATTTGAATCATGTGTTCTTTTTGGCTATAACTGTTTATATAATTACACACATTAACATGCACATATATCCACATACAGTGGCGACAATATAAATAGTACACTTTAATGACCAGTTGGTTTATATTTTTGATATCAAGTTTCCTGTTTTTAAACATTTGCTGTTATTTTTTATAGCATCAAAAATATTTACATTTTTGAATGGAACTATTCATTAGGCAATAACTATCAAAAATGCTTGTTTTGACCATTTGAGCAGTTGCTTTTAAATTTTTGAGGTCTTTTTAAATAGCACACATTTAATTTTTTTTTTTAAAAAACCTAAAGTTCTTGTATTATATCAAAAGAAATCATTATACTCATTATTTTAAGGATAAACTTGTAATTTATTTTGCAAAAATCATATTCGATCAACTATGGCATGAGGTAAACATAAAAACATGAAACAGATGTCTTTCGAGGACAAATACAGGCATTTTGAGATCAAGAATTAAAGACTCTGAAATAACTCAAAGAATGGATTTTTCTCGTAAAATAAAAAGTTATCAATGCTATTAATTTATTTAACAGTACTGGTTTATTAAGCAACAAAAAGCGAAAGTCTCGCAAACAAAAGAAAACCCCCAGAGAAGACGCAACCATTATCAGCATTGTTAGGCTAAGTTCTTTTGCTGGCACACCGAAAATCAAAGATCAAATCGCTCAAATTTACAAGTTAAACGGTCTGTCAGCACTGTAAAAAGTCATTTAGGTGAAAATAAGCTATTTAAAAGAGTTGCCCGAAAAAAAAAAAAAGGTCTCAAAATGTAATCTCGTCAGTTGTTTGAAGTTTGCAAAATAGTATGTACATAAGGTGTTATGTTTTTAGAAAAATGTGCTTTGGACTGACAAGTCTAAATTTAATTGCTTTGGATCTGACAGAAATCAATATGCTTGTCATACCCAAAACCAAGCTCTCAGCCCTTGGTAGATTCTAAAGACTGTAAAACATAGTGTTGGTAAGGAGATTGTTTGAGGTAATTTTTCATGGTGTGGCGTGGGATCCTTGCATAGATTCAAGGAACAATGTATCAACACATGTACAAAGAAACACAAGATAACGCCATGATGCCTTATGTTGAGGAAAATCGTCTTTTAATTTGGAAATTTCAAAAAGATAATGAACCCAAGCACACAACCAAAAGTGTTAAAATGTGGTTTAATGCTAACAAGATTGTTGTTTTGGAGTGGCCCACACAGTCATCATACCTAAATCCGATAATAAATTTGTGGAAGGAAGTTGACAGAAACATAAATCAATCAACTGCAACAAATTTAGACCAATTTTGGATCGAAATAAAGGCTGCTTGGGACACCATTACGCCTGAACAATGCCAAATATTGATCTGATCATTTGGCAATTGTTGCCAAGTAGTTATTGACTCAAAAGGATACCCCACTAAGTATTAATTTACTTCAAACTAAATTTTCTTAACTATTTGTACAAAGACCCTCTATGATTTTTATAGCAAAGGGACAAAATAATGATTCTTTAACAGGGTGTGCTATTTAAATTGCCCCCTTATTCTGTATCTCTAAATCATTTATATGATCGATTTTTTTTTATTTATTTTTTAATATTTATAAGTTAATTTATTTTTTTAGTCAGTAATGTTATCTTCTAAAATTAATATTTTATTTGGCTAAAAAAGTTTAGATCTGGAAAATATATTATTAAATATTCAAAATCAATCTGTGCTATTTATTTTGTTGCCACTGAACATTAACATATGTATCCTCAAACAGTCTGTATTTTAACACTAACTTAGAATCAATTCAAATAAAAAGAGCTTCTTTTAAAACACCATGTTTTTCATTAACAACAACTAACATCATCAGATGTAGTAAGGTATTGATTTATTTAATCTGTACACTATTTCTTGTAATATTTTAATGAAATTTTACAAATATAAAATCTGATACTTTGGAGAAAATGATTTATAAATATATAAATAAGGTTTTGATATTCCTTAAAATCAAGCAATGAAAACTGTCATTGTTTGAGGAAATTTTCTGAAATTTTGATTTTGACAAAGAAAACATACACAACACTTAGTAAAGCTTTTGACAGCTGGTACCTTATTACCAAGGCCATAAAACTGAACTTTATTGACTCTTTCATTTTGTCCTGGTCCACGAAACAAATGAATTTGATCAGGATGAACAAATTCCCACATGCGAACACTCCCATCAGCACCTCCAGTAACATCTATGTAAATGAAGACATAATAAATTGACTAAAAGAAATAGTATGAAAATATAATATAAAACCTTTATAAAAATAAATATCAAATTATACAAATGATTATTTTATCTGAACTTTATTCTATATAAAAATATGGAATAAAGCCTAAAGTTTAAAATAATAAAGCTTAAAGTTAAAAATAGTAAAGAAAGCCTAAAGTTAAAATTAAACAAAAAGCTTAGTTTTTCTTATATATTCTTTATATATTTGTCTTCCTAAATATATTCTTTTTTTAAACACATTTATCTTCAGTTTTTAATTTTTTGAAACTCTGAAAAATTTCAAATTTTTAAAAAATATTTTGTCTTCCTCTTTTTTAAAACTAAAAAAAAACAAGCATACGCGGAGTAGATCTCAGAGTGTCAAAATAAAGTGTCAAATGCTAAGTTATAAATTATGAAAAATTAAAAAATTAGAAAAAAAATTCAGCAATTCAAAAAAAAAAAAAAAATAGAAATTTACTACTTTTTAACCTTAAAACATTCTGAAAAACTAAAGAAGACTTTTCTAAATTCATCTTTTTTATGAATTGCATTAATACATCTTAAAGTCATTTTCTAACCAAATAAAAAAAAAATCAACATTAGTAAGTATAAATAAAACCAAAATAATATGTTCTTACTTTTATATGTTTTAATTCTTTGTTTATTTGATAATTGTTTTATTGGTTTTAAATTAGTTTTTATTTTAATAATTTATAACTATATAAAAGCAATAATAATTAAAAACT